TTTTTAAAAAAAAAAAAAAAAAAAGTCTTTATTTTCAAGCTTTCAGGTTCATGCACCCTTCCTTAGGCATAGAAGAATGCAAAGATTTTAAACTTTCTCCCAGGTAGAAATGAAAATTCATAATGCACAGGAGAGCTGGAAGGTGGTGTATTATATACATTTATGGGTATACCTGAGAGCGTACTTTTAAGATTTTGTATTCACAGAAAAAGGGAACACTAAGATTCACTAAATTCCTGTTGATACTCAAACAAGTTATGATTTTAACAAACTGAAAGACGTTTTAAAAAAATTGAAATCATGGTGTTATATCAAACTAGGAGTGTAGAATGGGGGGAATTTCTCACTTTTATTGTGACATTGGTTTGTTCTGTTTACTAGATCAACTTCCATTTTAAAGTTGCAGCGATTGAAATTACATGACTTTTGAGAAGCTTTAGGCTTTTACTTTCCTGACTCTCTGGGTTGTCTTACTTGTTTGTTTCTATAGAAAGCTTTGTAGCATTATAAATTACTTTATATACATTTTTCTACTTCACTTACCTGTCTCAAGGCCAAATTCTGCCTCACATGCATTTTATACAGATGTCGATGAGATGTGTGCAAATATCTGAGACCAGCATTTGACTCTTACTATATAAAAGCAATTGACTATGATGTTCTAATCTCTTCCTGTTGGGCTTACAGTAGCAAGACCAATAAACCAAGATTGTAGAGTGTACTTAAAGTAACAGCATTTCTGCCTTAAGTGAACCAATATTAATAAATGCATCTACAGAAGAAATGGTGTTTTTTGTTTTTCCTTTTGCAAGAGGCAGGGAAAAATAATAGGACAAAAATTTATACCAACGATGAAGTTGGTCCAATTAAAGATATCTCCCCGCAAATCCTTTCCCTCTTGCATTATTCTTGGGCTATCATAGCTGCAGCATCACTTCAACACTACAAGAAAATTTAAGTCACTCAGTAACATGAAAAGGGGCATGGTAGGAAGAAGGGGAATCTACACCAAACCAGGAAATTAACATGGTAGATGCTTAACGTAAAATAGCTGATATGACTGAATAGTTAGCTCCCATCTTCCTGCAGTTATTCATGCCTTTTGGATTGTATTCTTGGTGCAAGCACCTTGTCATCTGTGTATAAAGCAATGTGGCACTAGGGGAAATAATGATAATATACTGCCTACAGATGAGAAGGCAAGAGAGAAAGACAGCATAATAGGAGAAAGACAGATTAGTCCCTAGAGGGCAGACGAAACTTCCCTTATTTATGGTTTTTGCCTATATTATTTTTCCTAAAAGAGCTGATTACTCATCCTGTAAAAAGATTAGGTAGGAATGAGGAGGTTGTCATGTGGCAACTGTCATACAAGGAACAGAACTGATCCCACATTTTCTACTAAAGAAGGGGGAATTTAAATATTTTCAGTCAGGGTTTTCACAGCATAGTCATCAGTGCTCATCCAGAGTGAATTCTCCTCCCTTTCCCCCAGCATGGAGTGCAACCAGACTTTGGGGTTATTTGCTGTAGCTGGGGATAGAAGTCACCTCCTAACCTGCAGGTGAGTCATGGAGCTTCACTGCTGTACCTTTGTATCCACTTCTTTTCCCCTGCACTTTCATTGCAGAAGTTTTGGTTTGCAGAATAAGAACCCTGACATGGACCTGCCTCTACAGCCTCTTTCATATCCATCTATTTGAAACTCTTAGAGATGCCCCTCTGTACCCTTTCAATCTATCCACCTTACCCTTAGAAGCCTCACATCTGGTATTGTCCTACTACACTTTTAGTCCTCTATGAAAATAAGCTCCTTTTATAGGCACCTGTTTGAATTCCACACTCAATGTCTATGTTTAAAAGATTCAGGAAACAAAGTAATGGTTGTCATTACACCTGCCTGAGCCTTTTTAGTTCTTAATTCACAGACATGTGGCTTTGTGTGCACTGTATACATTGGAAAGAAAAATAGTAATCAAAACTGAACTGGTTAAGTCTATTAGTAAATCTCATGTCTATGGAAATGGGCAAGTGTCAGCAATATATGTGCTTTCTGCATGCAGGTTTCTATGTGATGCTAAAATAATGATTAACAAGAAAAAAAATCTGAAAGCTCCAGAGTCAAATTAGATAAAACGAGTGCTTCATTACATCTTAGCTGTCCAGAACAAGTTATTATTTTGTATGTTAAGAGGTAGTTCAGTAACATTTTGAGTAGGTTGTCCTATAGCAAACATAGCAATACATTCCAGGGATAAAGTATAAGTGAGACAAGTGTCACAGGCCAGCTGGGCACTGTGAGTATATCAATTTAGTTGCAGACTGACTGAGCACTGCAACTTCATTAGCCACTGAGCTTTTTGGTTCGGAATTGTGAAGGTGATGTTGGAAAAGAAAGAAATGACAAGTTTTACTTACAAAAAGGAATGAATTTTATGTATGACAAAAAAAGATATAGTTTGCATATATATTCTAATTATGCTAATTTTTAGTTATGTAGCCATTCATAATATTGCTTTATAGCTGTTATCCTCTGGGGTTAAAAGGTGTTAGAAATTATTATAATAAGTTACTACCCAAGCTTGGGTTTATCCAATATGCAAATTGCAACACAGCATCTTCAGGTTTGAAATTAACATTACCCTGCCTAAATCCAGCCCCTTAAGAATTCTCTGACTATGCTTTTTTGAGATATCCAGTACATTTCAAGAAAGGACAAGCTAGGCAGTTGAATCCAGTTTTTATCATCATCAAGGCTAAATTCTGAGCGAGAAAGAACTATTAGGTCAGCTAATTTCACAGCTATAGCTTTGTCTTTGAGGCCTAGTCAGTTCCACAAACAGTTACAAGTTACATTTGCAGGTTACAAAAATACAAGCTTCATAGTAGACAAAATCTCCAAATGCCTCCAAAAAGCACATATTTATTGCTTGTTAATTTATTTGGTTCGGGCCATCACAGACAAGTTCATGTTATTTTCTATACCGCTTAACTCCATAACATTCTGAAGAAAATGCATTAGTAATACTTTCAGTGGACATGTACAATTTGGGGTGGAATGGGGTCATCCCTGACAACATTATCATTATTCTTCATTTAAATTCTGATTTGATCCCCATTGTTCTTAAAACACTATGGACTTCCTTTAGCCTACTTCATGGTCCTACTTTATCTTCTTTCCTCACCTGATCTTCATGGTCCTCACCTTTATCTTCTTTCCTCTCTATTCCATCCTTCCACCTGACTCCCCTGTTCCTTTCAGCAAATAGCTGTGAGCTCAGTGCCATATGTGCATTATTTTTAACAATGAAAATATCATTAACTTCTTACTCTTGTCTGGGAGAGAGATCAGCAGCTGGAGGTATGGGAAACTTACATACTTCAGAAACAAAGGAACTGGGGCAGGAATCTGGACAGCCAGTGAGGACCAGGATAGTATAAGGAGGTGGGGGTCATACAAACGTGTGTTGGAGTGGGAGAATCTAGAAGACTCTTGGATGTGGAGAAAGAGAAGAGAACATAGGGGAGAGAGATGGGGCCTCTTATTCTTCTCCTCCTTCCATTTGTCTTCCTAGTTTGCCCTCTTTTGTCCCATTCCCTGTTCTATATCCTCATTTTGTCATCCCCCTTGTCTTCTACCACCACTCCCAATCCTCTCCATAGGCTCCCAGTCTTGCTATTAGCCTGAGATTGCTTTCTCTTCTCTCCTTAATGAAAATTAAGAGATCTGTCTCAGTCATGAACTGATGGTTAGACCTCCACAACTGGATGGCGGCCCTAGATTTAAGTTTGGACAGAAGGAGACGTCTGCAGCAGAGAGAGAAACTTGAGAGCTCCCTGTGGGATCTCTAGGTGGTGAAGAGGAGAATACCGCAGAGGGCATCTGAGGAAGCCATTAGAGGGGTGCAAGTCTCCTGAAGAATCTAGAGAGAGATTTACAAGCTACATCCTGATTCTTTGTGCAGCATGTATTTGCAAAGTGAAGACGTGGCTTATGTTTATTTTCCTAAAATACCCTTCTGAGAAAATTAGTAGTTTTTGCTTGAAGACTATAGGCCAAACAGCTAACAGCATGTCTATAATGACATATACTCCCTTGCTTGGTCTAACTTATCAACAGTCAGCCCTTGGATATGTCAGGAAGCAGGCAGATAAGCTCTTAGCTGGCCCTGCATAAATCCCCTTGGGGGTGTAAAAGTAGCAGCTCGGTGGGCTCTCAGTCAAGAAGGCTCTAGTCCCAGAGCTCTTGGTTCCTAGTCCTAGTCCCCTGCTCCTAGTCCTGGTTCCTGAGCCTTGGTTTCCTTGTGTCCTATCCTGGTTCCTGCTGCCCCTCTTCTACCCCAACCTGTGCCTTGCTCCTGCCTAGTTCCTGCCTGAACCTTGCCTAGCCTAGCTTGAACCTGTGCCTCACTCTTACCTGAATCATTGCTTAGTTCCTGCTTGCCCCTGCCCCTATGCCTATCTGCTCCTGCCCTGGATTGCTCTGTTCTTTTCCTCCCTGTTACTCATTTTTCCAGACTTAGACTTACCAGTTTGCCCATCAGCATGCCTTGAACATGAATCCAAACCCATTTTGACCCCTGGCTTG